TGCATTGAGGCATCTAGATGCGGCTATACCAGCCTGACGGCCCGCCCGCCTGCCAGCCTGCCAGCCCCGCCGCCGCCCGCACCTGCGGCTGATCCACACATTCACCCATTCACCCGTTATTACATCTATTACATGCATAGGGGGCTCGGCAAGGGGGCTCGCCGGCTGCACCGCCAAGGCTGGCAGCTTCTACTCTGCAGAGACTGCCCTGCCCTGCCCCACCCTGCAGGAGAGTGCGCCTCGCGCCTGACGCGGCTGAATCAGCTGACTGCTCTGTTGGTATAGGGCGGGGTTCTCTGCCCACCTCTGCACCCGCAGCTGCCCGTTGCGGCTGCGTCAGCTGCCAGCTCTGTTGGTAGGGAGGGGGGGTCTCTGACCACTTCGGCAACCGCGGGTGTCTACGGTGAGACCAGGGCGTTCCCGCCGTCGGACTGGACTGTGACATCAGTTTTGTCGTGTTCCAGCGAGGACAGCTGGTATGCGACCGCGCCGGACCGACAGCGCCATGAGGCGCTCCTGCGCAAGGCCCTCGACGTCATCCTGGAGGAGGCCGTGTTCGCCGGGACGAGCCGCGACGGCAAGGTGTGCGAGTGGAGGGACCCGGAGGAGCTGCGCAAGACGCTGGACCTGTCGCTGCCTCACGGCGACGGCAAGGAGCCCGCCGACGACGCCACGCTGCTCAGGCTCGTCCGAGACACCATCAAGTACTCCGTGAAGACGGGGCACCCCTACTTCATCAACCAGCTGTACTCGGGGTAAGAAGCGTGGCGTGACCGTGACGTGGCTCTCGACGCTGCCCGCAAAAGGCAGGTTTCACGCTACCTCGTGCTCATCCCCCACTGAACACGTCCGCAGGCTGGACCCCTACGGGCTGGTCGGCCAGTGGCTGACGGACGCGCTCAACCCGAGCGTGTACACGTACGAGGTGTCGCCCGTGTTCACGCTCATGGAGGAGGCCGTGCTGCAGGAGATGCGCAACATCGTGGGCTTCCCCGTGGACCAGGGCGACGGCATCTTCTGCCCCGGCGGCTCCATGGCCAACGGCTACGCCATCAGCTGCGCCCGCTACCACTACTTCCCAGAAGTGAAGGTGAGGACAGGGGGTCGGGACAGTGCGGGGGATGGGGTATCATGTCGTGCGTCAGGCGCGGAGTCATGCGGGGCTTTTTCTATGTGGGCCGACTCCAAGGGGTCTGATGAGCTGGGCTCGCCTCTTTAGCGGCCTCACTGCGAGTGTCGTCATCCTGATATGGCGGCAGGCTGAGCTGTCGCACGCAGTCGCTTCCTCTACCTGCGGCTGGCTCAGCCTGCCGGGTAGGCCGGCCCGGCGCGCACCGGTGCGTCGCAGCGCGCACATTGCCTACCCCGCAGGCTGACGCGCTGACGCTGCCCCTTATTTGCTTGCAGACCAAGGGGATGCACGGGCTGCCGCGGCTCGCCGTGTTCACCTCTGAGGACGCCCACTACTCGGTGCTCAAGATGGCCACGCTGCTGGGGCTGGGCGGCGACAGCGTGTACATGGTGCGGACGGACGCGCGCGGCCGCATGGACGCGGCGCACCTCGACGAGCTGGTGACGAAGGCGCGCGAGTCCGGCGCGCACCCGCTGCTCGTCTCGGCCACGGCCGGCACCACGGTCCTGGGCGCGTACGACCCGATCGAGCCGCTGACGGCCGCCTGCCGGCGCCACAACATGTGGCTGCACGTGGACGCGGCCTGGGGCGGCGGCGCGCTCATGTCCCGCCGCCGGCGGCACCTGCTCCGCGGCGTGCACCTGGCCGACTCGGTCACGTGGAACCCGCACAAGCTGCTGGCCGCGCCGCAGCAGTGCTCCACCTTCCTCACGCGCCACACGGGCGTGCTGGGCGGCGCGCACTCGGCAAAGGCGACCTACCTCTTCCAGCCCGACAAGTTCTACGACACGCGCTACGACACGGGCGACAAGCACGTCCAGTGCGGACGCCGCGCCGACGTGCTCAAGTTCTGGTTCATGTGGAAGGCCAAGGTAAGAGATGCGAAGGGGTACTTCACTCACAAGAGTCAGTGAACACCCCCCCCCCCAACAATCAGGGAAAATCAGGAAAAAATCAAGGAAAATTCAATTTATAGATTAAAAAAAAAATCTGAATTTGTTTTCAAAATTAGGAAAAAATATTTAGTGCCCTTCTGTGACACTCTCTATCTTTTCTGATGGACGCACAGGGAACGCTCGGCCTGGAGAAGCACATTGACCACCTGTTCGACAACGTGACGTACTTCAAGGAGGCCATTCGCTGCCGGCCCGGCTGGGAGCTCGTCCTGCGGGAGCCCGAGTGCACCAACGTGTGCTTCTGGTACGTGCCGCCCAGTCTGCGCGGCCAGCAGGACCAGGCCGACTACAACGACCGCCTGCACAAGGTGAGTCGTCTTAAAACCACTTGAAACATTTATTACGCTGATTTTGTGGTCTCGCCGGTGAGGCAGTTCACTGGGCTACTCTGAGCATCCGTTCGCACCTGCTCCAGGTGGCGCCCAAAATCAAGGAGCGCATGATGAAGGAGGGCTCTATGATGGTGACGTACCAGCCGCTGCGCGGACTGCCCAACTTCTTCCGCCTCGTTCTGCAGAGCTCCGCCACCACGGTCGAGGACATGGACCACTTCATCTGCGAGATCGAGCGACTAGGTTGCGACCTCTAGTCAAAGTTCGCATGCGCCCTCTTCTCATCTGTTATTTATTTTACTTTATCAGTATTAGAAAATGTCAGCGTGTCGTTGGTGGTTGAAATTGACAAAGGGAAAGTCTTCGAATAAGGACAGTTCGGCGACGCGGGATTCTCCATAGCAGGTTTTCTCTTAATTTTGCATGTCGATGTCAAGATCATAGTTTAAGGTCGGTAGACAAACCAAAAATATTTAACACCATCTATTTATGATTAGTAATGTATTCTGTAGAGTGGCTAACGCAGTTTTGAATATTTGTGGTTGATTCGTAGCATTGACCTTGCTTTGCTAGTTGTAAATTGTGGCAACTAAGAAGAAAAAAAATACAAATTTT